GCGAGAATTCCGGCGAATGCATGCGTCATCATAAAGACATCGAGGTAGGAGCATTCTAATTCTCGTTTACCAGCCTGATGGAACTCACAGGCGAGATTGTAATAGGCAGACTTGTCGAGGCTCTCGAACTCTTCGGTGATCTCGTGAGGAGCCATCTTCTCTCCGACGAGCAGGTGCAGGAGTGTTTCAGCTTCGAATACCTCGATCGGAGGGCTCTTGCAATTGACATCGAATAGGCTCACGAGCTGCATGAAGGCATGATTCTCGGTCATGCTCGAGCGTGTGGAGAAGAGAGGGCAGAAGCCTGTGAAAGCCGCGATTTCCTTGAAGAGTTGCTCCATGCTCAGAGGAGTTTTGTTGCGCTCTCTTATGGGGGTCATTCCCGGAGTGATTCTCATGTTTTCTAGGGAGACGGCAAGCTGTGGCTCGGAGGGGTCGAGCGTACCGAAGTGACAATGGAAAAATTTTTCAACACCAACAGTCGGCGTATATTTCATAATTGTCAACTCTTCTGGATAGACGAGATGACTCGCGGAGCGACAGACCTGATAGAGGAATATGGGAGCCTGGGTGTTTCTCACGATAGGATAAACGAAATTCTTCAATGCTTTGGAATACGGGGATTCCAATCTCGCCTCGATCACTCCTCTGGAGAAACTTCGGAATGTCTTCCGGGTCATGTTATACTCGGAAGTTTCAATACTGAGAAGACGCCTCTTCCACCGCTGTTTATCCGCAGGGGACAATGATTCCCAGATGAGCTTGGCTTCTTGGTAAGAAGCATCCAAGGATATCCCGATCGCTTTTCTTCTTTTTTCGAAGACATACATCTGTATGAATCGATACATTGGACTTACTCGAGTCATGATGCTTCCCCTCAGAATGGATCTATCATCCAGCTGTCGTACGGTACCGGAGGAAGACGATCTCGAGTCTTGAGGGTACGATTGAGACACCAGTGACTAGATCGCTCGGAGCTAGAGTCCGGGAATTTCGTGGGTGAGTTTGCCGAGGGCTTTTACCACGGGCATCGGGATGCTCTTGAGTGGAACACTAAATCTTCAATTCGAATGCAATGGCCCGCATATACACAAAATAGGTGCATTCAAGCTGCACGTCTCGCACATTGACCCTTTCCGTTTCACAGGGCATGCCTGCGTACGTATTTTCCAACGCGGCATGCGACTTCCATGAGCGGGGGACTGCCCATGCTTCGTGTACCTACTGTACGGTCCGCAAGCGATTTCCGTCCCGAACTTTGTGGGCGAGCCGCCTTCGGCTTCTGGAGATGACTTGTATAATGTCTCGAACTCGACTGAATGTAGATGGGTTCGTAAGAGGATCTGATGGTGAACTGAGGAATATTTTCACTCGGCTGAAACCCCACGGCTTGTGCTCGATATCCCCTATGTTACCGAGAACACGTGGGAAGAGGGAAGTTTCCCGGAGACGGATCCGAGAAACTTCGAGGGAATCGGGGTGAGACTTTGAGACTTTAGGAGGATGGGCCTTTCCGAAAAACTTGAGTGACTCCTCGCAAACCGAACTTCCCCACCATGCGTTCGCCAAGCCATATACCGTATTTCGGGCGAATAAAATCGAAAACCGAGGATGCGGTGTTCCTCTGCCAACTCGAAGCCATCCACTCGGAGTTGGTTCCGATGTATGGACCGAAGCAGAGTCAAGATATTTGGGGTGCTATCGTACTCGGCATCGATTGAAGTCGATGCTTTGACTCATCGAGGATGTTCATCCGCCTCGAACTAGAGAGTTCATCAGGAACTGAAACATTCCGGGGGTCGAATTCTCGCACCGGATGCTCTGAAAGCAATTAACGCCCCGAAGAAGGTCTATATCTGACTTCGTTCGGGGAGCTCCGGAGGAAGCCTGAGAGATTCTAAATTATGGGATTTCTTGGGAGTAATTAAACGAAGTAATTAAGCATTTAACACGAGTCTGCGGAGAGAGCTCCGAGATTTCTCTTCATTGGCGGGAGTCGATACAAAAAGGCGGCGTCAGCACCTGAGGGGCGCATTTCGATGGTATTGTGCGAGGCTATCTTATATCTTCAGATCCTTTAGTTCGTCTGAATCTTGCATCTATTCCCACAATGTACGGACTCTCAACGCGGGACAATTTCGTGAACTGGTACAAACGCCAAGCGAGGAAGAGCTTGCATTGTTATAATCTCGCCGTCTTAACGAATGAAGGCATCCGGATCTGGGACAACCTGATGCCGGCCGACAGGCAACGCTTCGCGAAGCGCTTATCAGCCATTCATTCGCAACCCCGGAAAATGCGAACTGCACTTCGACACTCGATGGAGACCTACCATGTGAGCGATGAGAACCTGAGGCGCCTCGAGACCCTTGAAGTGATCGAGATCGCGAAGTACCTTCGAGCCAAGCCCGACCTCCCCTTGTACTTCGTCGATGCGAACGTTTTCAAGCGCACTGGCTATCCCGACGAGCTGACCATCGTGAAATTCACGATGACCGAGGGTGTCGAAGACGTTTTTCACGCCCACTTCTGCTGCAGAGGAATCACCCAGGAAGAATACGAGAGGACCGTCGGAGCAGCATCAAGTGGACATAAAATAACGCCGCTAAGAGATACCAATGACAGCTGTGAGAACCTTCTGGATGTCTACAACGCAGTCCGAGAGTTCACGAACAATGGGCCTATTTTCGCCCCACGAGTCAAGCACAAATGTTGCTTAACTGCGATGCTGATTCTCAACTTGGCGGACGTTCAAGCGGAGACCCCACCCTTCCAAGTTCTGCAAGCGGAAATTCTTGCTCAGGAATCGATTGATCCGCCGCAACACTCAACGACGAGTTCGCCGAAGAGCTTTTTCTTCCCCGAAGCGCCTTCGAAGCTGCTCGCTTGCGATTTTCATCAGGAGGTACAATCCTATGGTCACTGTACAATGTACGGCGCGCTGGCCACGGCTTACAATTTTGGGAAGACCGTCCTTCCTCCTTTTGGGATCGAATGTAGGGAAGGCCAACGTGGTTTCGAAAATTGGATCCGACCGGCCTACACGATCTTCAGAGGGTCGGGTAAGAACCTCGACCTCTCTTCCATAATGGACTCGGAGCAAGGTCATCAATAGACAAGCGTCCGGCGTATACAGGGTCCGGATACTAGAGCGATTATACGATTCGTCCTGAGCATGTGTCTCGCGCGTGTCGTGGCTCGATTCCTCCATCATGTTCCTCGACCGAGTCCTTGCAAGGATGAAGATGGGAGCTATGTTCAATGAAACCCTCATAGCAGCACAAAGCTGCTCGCACCCATATCTTAAATTCCCTCGAGAGTCGCCGCTATAAATAATAAAACTAAAGTCTTTCTTCACGCAAGAGTTTTCTGATTTTCCTACGTGACATACGATTATCAAGGAGTTTCCATTGCAGCCTCCTCCAAGCCCGAGACAACTCTTCTGAGGTTGAACTGTCCTGATCCTGTTCATCGGGCTCGATGTTCGCAGCAGAGTCCGAGCTCCGCGGCTCCTCCGATTGGAGCACCTCCGGTCACATATGCCTACCATTGTCTCCCTGCTCGTCGCGGCATACGTCCCCTACGAATGATGGAGATAATCTGATGAATGCTTCGGATGGATTTGCGGCATTCGGAGTCGCACGTGTGTACCCCACGACTTCAGATGCCATTCCGAGAGGCTGCTGATAATTGCTCGAAACTCGCGAGAGTTTCCAGAGCTTCCACTCCCGTTCACTCATTGCCCTCGATCATTAGGCAGTTATCAGGACAAGAATGGTCCCAGCTGCCGAACACAATCTACTCGCGACTGCGATGCTGATGACTGGGAGATATGCCAGTCCGGAAACCTGACGGTGAGGCCAGAGGAATGGATGAAGTTTCGAAAGGATCAGTCGGTGGGAGGCTTTCTTTGAGTGGGTTCCGTGGTTCGCTGATGCACGACTCTTCAGCGAAGACTCCTGCTCTACGGCCAAGGCCTATGAGCTCGGCTAGCTCGTCAGCCTATATCCCCAGGTTGTTGTAGAGGTGTTGCGTCTAGCCTCCTCCTGTCGCCCCGGTTCAGTCCTTCGATCGGATCTCACCCTGTCTCTGCAAAGCTGTCCCACGCGTTGGGCTCTGAGCTTCAAATGGGTTATGCGAACGCTGCCGCTATCCCGGGAAGTCTCTCCGTCTCGAAAGCGTGTCTCAATCGCTGCATTCACCACACAGTGTAGGAGCTATCCCCCGCAACACTCTCCGGGGGATATAATTTATTTTCTAAATCGAAAAGATTCAACATTTGAGTTGTAAAGTCGCCCTCCGCGCCTAGGAATCACATCTCCAACCCGTCTTATCATGACTCGGGTCCGATTCCGCATCTCTCCATTCTCTGAAACCATGGACAACTCACTTTCGATCTGGAGTTGTATAAAGTGAGAAAAAACTCAACATAGTGAAAATAAACAATGATCCGCGGAACAAGGCTCAGAATTTTCTCAACTCATCGATCCGCTTCAAAATAACACAGTCCTCCTCGCCAGATCTTTTAGCTATCGTAGAACATTTGGTTGTAGTTTGCCGAGGCATGATCCCCGGAAGCTCGAACGGAGACTCCTGTGTGTATGGCGATTTCTCCCAGGCCTCCAATCTACCCTCGATCGCCTGCTAAGGACTTCACGACCACAAAAATAACCTCGATCATCTCCACGCTTCTCGTTCCTCCGTGCTGGTTCAGCCTGGACGCCGAGCACCGGACGAGATGACAGAGGGCTGCGGAATAATGATGAGTTTTTCAATATCGTGGGAATTCCTAGAAAACGGCTGATTGTGAAAGCAAAGATGAAGACAGAAAAAGCGAGTGAGACTGGAGCGATGCAATTTCAAGGGCATAGTACCTTCGTATATGATGGCTGTTGCCGCTCCAAGACTAGACTTCTTCGTGCTCTCACGGAGATGGCCACACAAATGATCTAGATCTGTATCTCCGACTTTTTGTTGCTAGCAGTGTCCCCGGCACGAGCTCAACTGTTTTTCACGCAGGAATAGAAGAGCATATAGGCGTTGTCTACGTCTATCGTATTCCGCAGAGGGGTGACCTTGAAGCAGACGATGCACAGATAATTAGGCACCGGAACTCATCTAAGGCAGCCGTGAATAATCAGACTCGCATTTGAGCTCGGCTCTCTGTGCACTCACTTCCTGATCGTTGTACGAATACCACGGTTGCGCCTGCTTACCGAGAAACCGGCACTCAGCTATATCTGAAAGAGGAATTCCTCAGCTCGGTGACACGGTTTCCCTACTCGGGAGTATTTCTACCTGGTATGGTCGGGATTCCCGAACGGAGATCAGAAACTCTTCGAAGCATGTCCTCAGAATAGACTGAAACTTACAGTGGCCATTCGACAGTGTGCCGTGGTGCTTCTGCAAATTAAGAGAAGATGTATGTAGATACTAAGGCAAGCATCAGATCGAGTGAAACAAAGGGAACTCCCATGAGAGCTCATTTGTTGAGAGCTGAAACTCACCACAATCCCATAGAGGGTGTAACTCTTCAATTGCACATTCTTACTGTAGACGTACTGAGCAAAATCTCGGGTATCTAAATCCTCAGTGAAGTGGACTTTGTTATTGACTTTCCTAATTGATGCTAGCGATGAAATCCACGGCTCGTTCTTGAAGCGAATCAAATGAATTATCTGCAAGAGAGGGAAATGTTCCAGGATTTCGGCCTGAGATTCCCGCGATTCAGTTCCATTTCTTTCTTGGGAATGCTCTCACCAGGTGTTTGGGCAGCCGAGCGATTTTCATCTGCTTTGTTGCGCTTCGCTTCTTCTTACAGTGGGGACAGTGCCACTCCTCCACAGTTTCTTCTTTGAAAAACTGATCGAAACAAGCCTGGAGATCCAGCTGTGGCCAGGAGGAAGGTACAGGAACAGAGAGCACAGTGAAGACCTGGAGCGAGAGGCCATTGGATGAAATTCGTCTCCGTCTGATGGCAAATAATGACGAAACTGTGTACCAGCGACGCATTCCCGGACGGAGACAGGAGAGCGGCATCACTGAGGATTGTCCTACCTGAAACGTGTAGGAGTCTTTTTCACAGGTTAGGCACTTCAGACCCGATAGCAGAACGCCTTCAAAGTTGTTTGTCACGATCGAGCGCTGGCTCTCTCGATGAGCTGTAAGGATATACTCCATTATTTCGAATGACCCAAGATCGAGACCACAACGACCACTGCCCCTCCTCCAACTCGGCAATCAAGGTTGAGACCTACCAATGAAGAACTCGTTCAATTTAGTTGGAAGCATCTCGAAGGTTACCACGAGGTCCGGGTCATCGGCAGAACTCTGGGAGTTGTTCTTCGGCTGGAACGCGTCAGGAATCCTCAACTTTCAGGTGGACAACGATTTCGCATCCTGAGTACATTTATCTCCCGGTATCTCGTCAGATTGAATGACGAGGAAGAGACCACCACTTACAGCTTCGTTCAGATCCTCGTGTAGCACCGTCAAAAGGCTCATGAGGAATTCGTGGCTGTCCTGCTGATCCGACGAACGGTACATCGGACAGCGTGTTCCTACCTGTTCACGGAAGAGCGTCAAACTCTCCCGGGTGTCAGTCTGCGACCAGAGCTGTGAGAGCAGTCGCGCGAAGAGGCTCGCCAGACTTCCCTGCTTCTGGTCGTGTCTGGAATAAATCGAGGGTGAACTCAACAAAGTTCCCGCAGGATTCCCTCACTTTCACTGAGAGGATCATCGCGGATATAGACTTCGAAACGACAAGTTCGAACAATTCTCACCTGAGCGCAGGATGCTCCCTCCTGACGAAAGATTGCGCAAATTCGGTAGAATGGGCCAGAGCTTGAACCACCGAATTGAGATAGCAAGTATTCCTCAAGTTCCGCAGTCCCGCTGTTCGGTCGATTGCGCCATAGATATACGCCTACGGGGAAGGAAAGAATGAAAATCTTTAGTGAGGAAAGGACGGGATTTTTGTAACGTGAAGTCGTCGAGCGCATTTGGTATATGGGTGCTCAGGGGCCGTTTCTGCTCCCGTTTCGAATAAATTACCTGCACAGGCGATTGACTCCTTCTGTTCTTTGGCGGTATCAGCGGCTTGACTTTCTCGATCCTCGTAGGAGCGACACTGATACCTGAAGACTTGCTGATATTATCTTCGCGACCCCTGCTACTGATGTGATTGTTTCGATTATTATTTACACCTTGGAGGACGTCAACTGGCTGATGGACCGTCGCAGCTTCGAGGCTTTGCGTGGGCTTTAAACTCCTGAAAAGGGAACTGGTCACTCAGATCACCTCCGTCAGAACGTTGCTATCACCAACACACATTGATGCATTCGGCAACTCGAATAGCCGATCGTTCCTAAATCATCACTTCCCCTAAACCCATCCCCGGTGGATCCGGCAAAGCCGATAGAGGAATGGAGACGAAAAAGATGCTCACCTGTCAAACGACGGCCTCTTCGCCTCGACATTGTCCTCAAGACCGCGGCTGAAGCTGTCTCTGTGAGTTGTGGATTCCTCGTAGATATCACCCATCGACCGGGACCTCATGAGCGTAGTCTTCGGATATCTGTAGTCCGATCGTTCGCCTTCGGCCTCCGAGAATGTTCGAGGCTTCTGCACCTGATAATCGTACGGCGGAATGCTGTGAGCAGAGGTCTTCCGAAATCTGGAGACCCCGATAAAGGCCTCCGGGAGCACACGGATCTAGGAATACGGGGGTAACTTCGGATACGACCGGAAACTGAAGAAGCTCACCGATATTTTCTCATTTACGGCTTTGGTAAATTGCTTGATCGTGTCTTGGGAGGTTTTGTCGATTTTAGAGATTTCGCTGCAGTCGCTCTTATCGGAGACGTGTGCCGAAGGTGTGGTCGCCGCCGCCGGTCTCGGCACCGGTCCTGCGAGCCGCGACTCGGGCTCCTTCGCTGGCACCGGGGAACTCTTCTGCCCAGCCGGAGCAGCTGTGTCATTCCCGACGAAAGTGGGTTTCAGAGGTACCTGCGGGACCACGCTGATGCGAGGGGTGACGATGGGCGCAAGTGTTGGGCTCGGCACGACATCCACCTGGATATTCAAAAGCACGTTTTGCTGCTCATCACGGCGCGTCGCTCCGATACATCGCATCCGATACGGCCCCTTTTCGCAGCATATTCCTGGATGATGAACTTGCATCCAGATTCGAGAGCTCACCTTCCGTTCGAAGCTCTCCGGCGACCAGCTGAGTCCGCGGACATCTCCTGCTTGACCAAGACGTTTTGTGGAGTTCTCACTGTTTTCGCGTGTGTTCAGTTCTAGATCGGGCTTTGGGTTCGTCGTGTCGTGAGGGAATGCTGTCGTCCACATTTTGTATCCGGCTGCGGATCAGACGAGATTTGAGCTCGCAGTGCACGAGAAGGGCGATTAAATTTTCAGAAACGTGGATTGTAAGAATTCTTGGCCTGTCCGCGGAACTCACATTTCAAGTGCACACATGTGATGGCATCGTCAGAGGAAACCCATTTCTTCAACGCTTCGGAAACACAATATGGCTTCGAGTATGGCGCCGTGGGATCCTGACCATCCCAGTCGATGATGACCACCTGCAAAGGGCAAGTCTTTTCGAACGCTGTCCACGACATTCGGCGAAGGATCGCTGTCCCACAGCAGACCATGATCACATCTGTTGAATCTTATCTCTCTTCGATCGACAAAAATGTTAAAATCGCATGAAGTGATATCGATTGTCGAACATCCGGCTAGACGCTAACCTTCTGGAAGTTTTTCCTTCTGTTAAACAGCTCGCTCGCCTGCGGCGACAACGCCCCTCCGAGCGTAAATGCAGTGACTCTGCACGGGCGAAGAGTGAAACATTAGCAACTACCGCATCAACTTAAGACAGAGAGCTTCTTGCGAATCGAGTATCGAAATGCTTGCGAAAAACGGGCATGCTCACCCGGGATAAACTTTCGGGATGTTGATTATGTCTGGTGAAATACTAATGTGCGAGTCTGCAAAAGCTTCTGGAGACCTCACGTCGAGCACGAGAGCCTGCCGTTTCAGGAGGAGCTCTCTAAGATCCTTGGTGGTGACGAAGAATGGTCCTGGAGGGGTTCGGGAGCCATTGAGGAATTATCTCACGCAAAACCTCGTTTATTCGATTCAAAAAATCGCAAAGAAAGAAGATCCCTTGAGCAATCCGGGGGAGTTCCGAAGTCAGCGCTCCATCGCCACCCACCTTTCTGATTCTGAGTGTCCGAGATCACGGAGTCCATACTGGAAATCTCGTTCACGAGTGGTGTCATCGGCGACTCTGATGGTTTGATCGGTGCAAGTAGCTCCCGGTGGTCTTTCACGGGCTCGGCAGGTTTCTGTTCGACGATGGGTTCATCGAGCACCGAATCCGGCGGTGTGGGACAACTGGAGAGTTCCTTTTCTGCAATGATGACAGCACCTCAGAACTCTGCGACGATCTGGGAAATAAGGGAGAGAATACCGTGCGCGTGCCCAGGATATTCCCGAGGGGCAGGGCACCTTGCCCCACCCCTTCTCTCTCCTGGGAACGCCACTGGAGCAATGGATCTTACCAAGTCGGGCCTGCTCATAACGTTCTCTCAGCGATATGCTCAGTTGCTCGCATCGGGTAACTGCTTTTTTCAGATCTTCTAGAAATGAGTTTCTCTCACTGTTTCCTATTAGCTCCTTCTTTTGCAGGGTTTCCCCCACGTCGGCAAACCTGTGTGATCATATGACATCTCTTATAAGTTGGCCCTTCAAGCTGCCTGATCTCCTCAGGGAATTTTTGCGATAGGTATCGCCCACAATTATCCGTGCGTTCTGCCTCAATCGATTGACGAGTTACCTCATATACAACACGAAAGCACTTTCTTCATCTCCACTTTCGAACTCCTTGTTCGCTTTCTGTAAGATCGTGGGCATCGCTCGCTGCAGCCTGATGGGAGATGATGCGTTTACGATTTCGAAGTTACGTCATGAGGCAATCGATCAAAATTTGTGGAAGCTATCTTCACGAACAAAAGCTGGGTTGTGGATACATACATCCTCACGTTCTGATTCTTCAAGGACTCGCTCTTGAATTTTGCGACTTCCTGCTTGAGGGCGTTCAAATCGTGTGCGATGTGAAGTCGTTTCTTGACAACCATGACGCTGATCCTGAAACAAAGTCCTCTCATTTATAGTCGATCATTCTGCTGCAGTCTCTGTACCTCGGCCATAATGATAGCCGAACGAGAGACACACGCAAGTGACGTCGCACGCAGAGGATCACCAACTCAGCGTGACGCTCTCGATTCAATGACACGTAGAGTCATCTGGGGGTTCGCTCTGGATCTCTCGGGAGAGGATTTGTTCCGTCGAGCTCGTGTCGGAAGGAAATTGTCGGTCGCGGAGAGGTTCACGGAAATATAAATGAGTAGGAGGAATGCTCCGGTTTGACACATGACTCCCCTGAGGTTTCTGTCTGGGCGAGCGTCACCTCACGCGCTCGATACTCGTATCGTAGTCGAAAAACCACTTTTCACAGGTATAATACTCACCGACCAGAGGCACTCAAGAAGAATAT